CCTGTCAGTATTCAGGTCAGCAGAAACAAGTTGACATATTGCCAACTTGAGGTACCTAAATGAAGAGAAGATAAATGTTCCCAAGAAACTGAATAGTGTAAAGTCTCCCTGAGAAAGTCTTTTTTTGTTTTATATGTATTAAGTTCCATACATATTTGTGCTAGAAATTTTTTAATAATCCCTAAGCCATTTCTCATTTCCTTAAAGATCCAAGAGATGTTCTGTGTTACAAGAAGGAGCTCCTATGAACGTTAATAAGTCATTTTATGACTTTAGGAGTTAGGATAGGGCCAGAGATATAGCTCAGTGGTATAGCACCTACCTAGCTAGCACGAGGTCCTGAGTTCAATTCCCAGGACCAAAAGAGAGAGAGACAGAGACAGAGACAGAATAGGCAAAAAGGAACTTGCAACTGGTCTTTGCTAAAATCCTGTGTAGGAGAAATGCTAATGGAATGCTAGTATGTTGATTAATGTCTTCTATCACAAGGTTTGATTATTGAATTTCTCCTACTTGAGATCTTTTATGCCCTATTATCCCACATAATGATAATAGCTACCATTTTTTTAGATACTTCACTAGATGTTTTATATGAATTACCTCATTCAGTACTCCCAGTAGCCCCTTCTCCAAGGTCACTGGGCTGGAAACCAGCTCCAGAAAGGCTAAGTAACTTTCTAAAGGCAAAGTACTTCCAAATTCTTTGAAAGACATTTTCCTGTTGTAAAGTTCCATCACTCCATTATCTGATGCACAGGTGACTGGCTAGTGTGAATCCATCTTGAATTCTGTTAAAGAAAACTAGTTTATTTGAATTGACAAAAAATATAAATAAAGTATAGTATTTCTAGTCTTTTCACTTAGTTTTAGTCTAAACCTTTATCATAATTTTAAAGTTTAGAATCCTAAGGGATTTTGTCTGTTTTTCAGTTCTCTCTCTGAGATTTTGCTAAATTTCCACCTATCAATCATCATTATCATTATTTTTTTGAGAGGGAAGGCTGCTGGGGATTGAATACAGAGTGTTCTCACTAAGTTTGGTTGTGAGCTGTGTGCGTGTGTGAGTGTGTGTGTGTGTGTGTGTGTGTGAGAGAGAGAGAGAGAGAGAGAGAGATTGGTTCCCTGAATTGTTAAATTGCCAGTGTTGGCCTTGAATTGTGATCTTCCTGCCTCAGCCTCTCTTCGCTGGGATTAAAGACATATATCACTACACTTGGCACATTAATTTCAATTAATTGTAATTGCTTTGCAGTCAAGAACCTTGACTCCATAAAAATACAGTCCAGCTGCTCTGTGGATCTTGAATGCAATTCTTAGATGGCAATAGTGGAGCTAAATTAGAGAAAACAGTTCTTAGAAAGCAAGTAAAGTTGGCTGTGAAATCTAGAGAAACTTGAATGAACCAAAGATGGAACACTACAGCTCATGATTACCATGAAATTAAACCATTCTCTTCAAATTACAGATTGAGAGAGCAGACAATATTTCTGTGTCCTGATTTTGATTTATTCTAGGAAGCTATGCTTAAATCATCTTAGATTAAAACTATACAAGGAAAGAGATGAAAACTTACAATGTAAATTTACTTCCTGTAAATAAGATTTTTATCCTAGAGAGACTAGGTTAGATGTGTTTGATTATTTTAAAAAGGTGATTGTAGGGCCTAGTGTGGTGGCGCACTCCTGTAATCCCAGAACTCAGGAGGCTAAGGCAGAAGATCATTGCAAGTTTGAGATCCACCTGTGCTACAAAGTGAGCTCAAGGCCAGCTTGAACTGTAAAACAAGATCCTATCTCAAAGAGACAAAAAAAAGTGGGTTATGCAAAAATACACATGACACATTACTGAAGTGTTAAGTAAACAGATAAATATAATCAATTTTGTTATGCTTTAATAATTTCTAAATTTCTCACCTTTAGGCTTGACATATTACCTCAAAAACCTCCCTAAAATAAAGCTTTTTTTTTCCTCCTTCAGTAACTGCAGATTGAACTCAAGGCCTTGTACATGCTAAGCAAAAGCTATACCATAGAGCTGCCAATCAGCCCAAAATAAGGCATTTAGTGAGTATTTTAGTGAGCATTGGGACTTACCAGGATTTGTTTCAATACACTTGTATGTTAATTTCCACCAGATTTATGCTTTTGTATTCAGATACCATTGGGTAAGCCTTGCATAAGATTCCATTACAAAATTCTGTTGTCCACTGGCAAGGAAAGCAAATCAGTTCTATTCTTGCTGTATTTCTTAGTATATTTGAATGTGAAATGTGTCCTGCACAGATGACACTTCAGAACAGGTACATAGGGACTGGAGATGTAGTTCAGTAGTAGAATGCTTGCCTAGCAGGTTTCGAGGGCCTGAATACTACCCCTAGTACTATGAAAAATAAAACAATTGCATACTTTAAAATGTTTTCTGAAGATTTGAACATACGAATTCCTGGGTCACTGACATATCTCAAGAAATTTGACAATACATCTCCATTGAACTGATTTTTCTAGTACATATTGAGGGGCCTGCACCAAAAGGACCTGTGTGTCTTCAAAAAGAAAAAATGGGAGTGAGTATGATAGTGCACGCTGGTAACACCAGAACTGTAATACCAGGACTTTGGACCTTGAGGCAGGAGGATTGATGAGAATTTTAAGCTAGCCTGGCTCCCTTGTGATACTCTAACTAAAAAAACAAACACATTATTAATAAGAAGAACATTGTAAATGTTCGCCGAAGAAATCAAGGGTACAACTCTTAGGTAGTTTGTAGTGCTATGTTCTTGCTTTTTTAAACTGTCCTTTACTTGTCATATACTCCAAAATAAAAAATGTTGCTATCAGTTTCCCCTTCTAGTTTTTAAGCTTGAATATCCTTGAGGAAATAGTATATACAGTTCTGTGTATCTCTTTCTGTCTGTTACAACAAAAGGCATTCGCAAATAAATATTCTCCGTGTCTTCATGGCAAGAATTCATGTTGATAATGTGGAACAAAATTACACTTTATGATTCTCTAATACTGTCGTTATTTTCTAGGCTCTTATTGGAAGAGAACAAAATTTGTTATTCTAATTTTCTTTATGAGATGTGTTATCAGTTGTTCTGGCTAGCAAAAATCTTTTTTTATTTGTTTGCTTGTTTCAAAATCATAATCATATCATCACTCTACCAGTGATCTCTCTACCAGTGATCTCCACCAGTGATCCCATCCCACTGTGATTTCCTCTGAAAATTGCTGCCCATTTACTGATTGTCCCCATCATTGACACTTTGTGCTTACTATATTTTGTGTGTCCTGTTATATAGTGTTTACTATAAAACCTGCTAAATCTCTCTTTGTACTTCTAATCTAGTCCTTTTAGGACAGTAGTATTAATACCAGATTATCAAGCTTTATAATTATAAAATAACATAGTACCTGACATGAAAATTATTCAGATTCAAAGTGCAACTTTATCTTTCACTGTAAATCAACCCTTTTTCTTAAGCCTATTGTCATAAAATTGTGGAATAGGAATTAAAGTGGAAGAAATAAATGACTATTTGTGTTAGAGTTGGATACATGGCTCCATGAATATATAAATTTCCTATATAAAGTATATATACATCTGTACTAAGATATACTTCTGTACATCTTACTAATGTCATATCACTGTTTATTCCTTTATAGCACTAATGACGGCATGAAATTATTGTTTACTTCTTTCTTTCTCTCCCTATCAGAACTTTATCTTATTCACTATTAAATTATGAGCATTTTGCTCATAATTTAGCCCATATTAGGAGCTTGAAAAACATGTAGTGATTAAATAATGAGATACATACTCAGGCTCATGGACATGAATATCTACTTGGAATTTTAAAGCTATTCTTTTTTTTCCACAAATGGAAGTTGATTGACACATCAAGAGATCGCCCTAACACTTTTCTCTCCACACCACTCTGGACTTTCCAGTCCCCTACCCAACTCCAGCTATAGGAATTACTTGGTACAGATTTATGTACTAAGCTGACTTTTTCAGTATTGATGTAGTAGGAAAGATACAATGCCGATTATGCAGTGTGTAGACTTAATTTAATATAGAATATTCAATTTTAACTTTGTTTTTAAAGTTCTTCTCTAATGTGAGATGGAAAGTGTATCTGAAGTCTGAGCATATTGCTTGCCTAGGGCAACAGTAGACCTTTCTTCAAATTTAAATTTGCTGAAGATTGGTTGTCCTGTAAGTGAAATCTAATCAGAGTAAACACAGCCCATCCAAATTAGTTAAATTATCTGAAATACTGGCTTTTTATCTGCTATTTGAGCTTAGAAGGGCTTGGAACAATTAAATTTAATGGTATCTATTTGTGTATTGCCACAAATTGTTTCCTGCAACCCCTAAAAGGCTACTTTTCTCCTTATCTCATATTTAAATTTGAACAATATATTAAATTTAGGTGGGGGATTTAGCTCAGTGGCTTAAGCCCCTGCCTGGTAGGTAGGAGATTGTGAGTTCAACCCCCAGTACAAAAAAAAAAAAAAAAAAAAAATGTGTGAAGGTAAATTCATTTTAGTTTTTGAAATAGGGTCTCACTGTGTAGTTCAGAGTGGTCTTGAACTCTCTAGCCCAGGCTGGCCTGAAACTCATGATGATACTCCTGCGTCAGTCTCCCAGGTGCTAGGATTATAGGCCTGCGCCACCAACACCCACCTAAATATGTCTCTTAAAAGAATAATTCTGTAAGAATTGCAGTGTAAAAAAAGGTTTGGTTAAAAAAAAAATAAAAAAGAAAGAAAGATTAGGTGTCTGAAGACCTAAGTATAAATCCTTTGTACTATAGTCTCAAATGTGATCTTGAAAAATAATTATAGGACAGCATTCATTCATCAGATGAAATTCTGTGTAAGTATTTGAAATTGCATGTAAACCAAAAAACAAAACTTTTCTATCCTTAAACTATGTGTGTATATATATATATATATATTTTTTTTTTTTTTTTTTTTAAATTTCGGTGGTACTAGGCTCTAGACTCTTCAGTGCTCTCAACTTTCCTGGAAAAATGGATCATTCCCACCATAAGGGAAAAAACTATATGGACAACAGCAGCAGCACTATGCCACCATCTCACCATCACCCAACTTCACCTTCACACTCTCATGGTGAAGGAGATGGCAGCATGAAGATGATGGTGAGTGCTATGGGAGAGGACGCAAGTTCTTTCCCAACCACTTGGGTTTTAGAAATAAAGGACTTTTAGTACTAGGAGGTATCTATAAAGGTCAGTTTACTTATGAGGAAAAACTAAAGCAGACTCTGAAATACCCTAAGTCAACTGATTTGCCTAAATACATGTGGCAAATTAGAGACACAGTAGAACCAAGGTATCTAGAATTCTTTCTTCTCCAATCCCTTCTTTTGATTTTGTTTTATTTTTATTTTGTTTTGTTTTTTGGTACTGGGAATTGAACACACAACCTCGTACTCGCCAGGCAGGCGCTTATATTGGCCCTATTTTTTTTTTTTTTTTTTTTTTGTCTTTTTGAGACAGGATCTCACTGTGCAGTTCAGGCTGGCCTTAGGCTACTTTGTAGCCCAGGCTGATCTCCAACTCCCAATGATCTGCCTGCCTCAGCCTCCCGAGTGCTGGGATTACAGGTGTGCGCCACCACATCCGGCTAAGTTCTAGTCTTTATATTTTGTGTAGAAAAGAGAAAAAGAAGCACAGGACAGTTCTATTGTTCAGTGCTTTGATACTAATAAATTGATACCAATATTTTCTTGAATAGCTATTCTTATCCAGACCTTTATCTTAAATATTTACTTTACTAGACTCCTTTGACTAAAATTCTTATTTACTGTCTTCAGTCATCTCTAATTAACTTATTTTGGTTTTCTGGCAGCCTATGACCTTCTACTTTGGCTTTAAAGATGTGGAACTATTGTTTTCCGGTTTGGTGATCAATACAGCTGGAGGTAAGTAAACTATCAGATGTGTTTGAAGGTGATACTCACAGGAGAGATGGTGCTAAAGTATTTGGATCCCCAGCACCTCTTTTTGACTTAATATCTGAATCAGTCTGGTCATGTTGTATAACTCTGATGCTTCTTGTTTCCTAACTAGAACCTGGAAGATGTAATAGTTTTGTCTTTCAATATATCTCCTTTAATTAACATGTGCATGTTTTGAAACCATTAAAAATACTACAGATCCTAGATAAAAATCTTCTGCAGTTTGTGTCCTTTCCCAGGGTTTCCTTATTGGATAAGTTATTGGTACTGCACTGTCTGCTACAGACATGTTTAAATTCCACAAAATAACCCTACATTAAAAACTACTCATCTAATATAATCCTCCTTGTCTTAGCTACTTTTCTCATTGTTAGGCAAAATACGTGACAATCAGCTACAGGAGGAAAGGTTTGTTTTTTTGTTTTGTTTTGTTTTGCTTTTGTCTTTTTCAGTACCAGGGATCGAACTCACGACTGCCTGCTTACAAGGCAGGCGCTTATGCCGCTGAGCTAAATCCCCAGCCCCAGAAAGGTTTATTTTAGTACACAGTTTGTACAAGTTCCATTCCAAAGTCAGCTGGCTCTAAGGCAGGGTGGCATGGCAGAAGGGAATTACAAAGGAGAAACGGTACGTGGCAAGCAGAAGGCATCAAAGCAGTGAAGAAACAGCAAAGTAACAAAGTAGGATGTGACAACAATAGCCCACCTGCTGTCCCTTAAATTCTATCCAGGCTACCCACCCTAAGGGTGGGTAGCACTCACACTTAGCGTGGGCCCTCCCATTATCTACTCCCAGAACTGTGCTAAACCAATCGGTGGACTAATTTAGCAATCACATTCCAGTATCACCTATTCTAGATCCAGCCACTTCTGAAAAGCCCCACCTATTATCCTGTGAGGTTTTGGAGACACCTAGACACAAACCATAACACTCCTGTTTTACAGATACATTAAGCTCAAATCTTAACATGAATTGCTCTAAATCCTAAAGTTAATATATTAGAGCTAAGACAAGCGCCCAGGCCTTCTTGAGCTGCCTAGACCAGAGCTGTTTCTAGTGTACCAAATGATGGTTCATATCTTTCCTGATCCTTAATCATTCTTAATTTTGGTGTAGCTGAGCATCCATCTCTTCAGTATGCTTTAAATTCAGATTTCTAGAGCCCAGCAGTCAGTTGGTACCAGCCTTTGGTACCAGACTTACCTTGGTTTTGTTTTGTTTTGTTTTGTTTTGTTTTTGTTTTCTTATATTTTTAAATTATTTTAATTGTATTAATAATAGAAGTCATAATTAATGAAGAAAATATAAAAAGCACTCTTCTATTAAAAAATAAAATTAAATTTCATAACAAAACAATTTAGAGCCAGGCATGATGGTGTACTCCTATAATCCCAGCATTTGTGAAGCAAAGGAGGAGGATCATTATGAATTCGAGGCCAGCCTGGGCTACAAAGTGAGTACAAGACAAGCCTGAACTGCATAGTGAGACCCTGTCTCAAAAAGAGAAAAAAATTAGAAATAACAATAATTATTACATTATGTATCATGATCTTAAAAGGATGGACAAAATGTCACTCAGAGTACAATTTATAGACTGAAAAGAATCTCTTCTTAAGAGGAACCAAACAAAAGGACAAAACTTCTTTTCAATGAACAGAGAAATTAGTAGTATGAAGAAACAAACTAGCATTTATTTTAAAATACTTTGGAAACAATGGAATTAGTAATTTGGGGAATTATTTGGACTTCACCCTATTTCCTATTTAGCTATCTTTTCTTATATGTAGATATCTATCTACCCCTATATATGTATATATATATCTATATATCTAGAGAGAGAGAGAAATTCTCATATTAGAGAAACTGTGCAATATTTAAGCTTGCGTATCTGGCCTTTTTTACTTAATATTATGTTTTCAAATTGCATTCATTTACCTGAATGCCTGAAGTTTATCTTTCTCTATGACAGAGTAGTACTCCATTGTGTATAAATATATTTTCTTTTATCCATTCATGTTGATGGACATATATCTGTTTCAAAAATCTAGCTGTTATAAATTTTGCTATTAACATAGGTATGTATCTCTGTAACATGATGACTTTTAACTTTTTGAGAAGATACCTAGGAGGGGGATAGCTGGGTCAAATGGGATTTCTAGTTTTGGTTTTATGAGGAATCCCCACACTGGTTTCCATAGTGGTTGTACTTACTTTCCCAACTACAATGTAAAAAGAGTTCCTTTTTGCCCCAATCCTTGCTAGCATTTGTTACTGATTTTTTGATGATAGCCATTCTTTTACAGTTAAGATGGTATCTCAATGTAGTTTCCATTTGCATTTCTGTAAAGACTAGCAGTGATGAATATTTTTTATTAATTGGCCATTTGTACAGTTGCCCTTTTTGATTGAATCTTTTTTTGGAGGGAGTCTAATTTTTTTGAGTAATTTACATATTCTAGATTTTAGTCCTCTATCTGAGCTAGCAAAACTTTTTAACCATTATATAGGTTGTCTGTTGGTTATTTCCTTTGCTGCACAAAAGTTTTTTGATTTGATATGATTCCATTTGTTGATTCTTGGCATTATTTCTGGTGCCACCGGGATTCTGTTCAGAAAAACTGGCCTATCCCTGTGTCTTCAAGAGTTTTACCTATTTTATCTTCTAGTAAATTGTTTCTGTATTACCATTTAAATCTTTGATCCATTTTGGTTTTACTTTGCCACAAGGTGAGATATATGAGTCTAGACTCCATCTTCTGCATGAGAGTATCCAGTTTTCCTAGCACCATTTATTAAAGACACTATCTTTCTTCTAGTGTTTATCTTTGGCCTTTTTCTCAAAGATCAACACTGAATGGGATTGTTTCTGCTTCCTCTGTTCGGTTCCATTGATCTACATGCCTTTTTGTGTCAGTATTATGCTATTTTAATCATTATATATTATAGTCACATTCGTAGTATAACTTCAAATCTGGGATTGTGATGCCTCCTGCTTTGCTTTTGTCATTCAGGTTTGCTTTTGCTATTCTGGGTCTCTTCTGGTTTCATGTAAATTTTAGGATTGTTTTCTCTAGTTCTGAGAGACATATTCAAGAGTATTTTGACTAACATTGCATTAAATCTATATAACAGTTTGGCTGTATAGCCATTTTGATTATATTAGTTCTGCTTTTCCAGGAATAGGAGGCATCTTTCCATTTTCTGATGTCCTCTTGATCTCCTTTTCCAAAGTACAGTAGTTTTTGGTATAGTGGTCTTTTACTTCCTTAGGTTAATTCCTAAGTAATTAATTTTTCTTGGCACTATTATGAACAGTACTGTTTTCCTAATTTTCTCAGTGAGTTATTAGTGTAGAAGAATGCTATTGATTTGTGTTTATTTTGTACCCTATCACACAGCTGAATCTGTTTATTAATTTTAGGAGAATTTTGATGAAATTTTTTGGGGTCTTGTAAATTCGAGAATCATCATCTACAAATGGTACTTTTACTTTGTCCCTTCCTGTATATATCCCTTTTCTTTCTTTTTCTTGCCTGACTGCTGAATCTAATGTTTTGAGGACTGTGTTGAATAGGAGTGGTAATAGTGATATCCTTGTTTTTTGTGTGATATTAGATGGAAAACTTTCAGTTTTTGCCTATCTCATGTGATGTTGGCAGTATCTTGGTCTTAAATGGCTTTTATCAGATTGACATAATATCCTTTTATCATGGATGGATGTTACATTTCATCAAAGGCTTTTTCTGTTTCTACTGAGATGATCATGTGATTTTTGTCCTTCTTTTGTGTGTTGAAATATATCTATCAGTTTGCATATCTACCATCTTTCTTTTTTTTTTTAATTTTATTTAAGGAGAAAAAGAAAACAAAAAACAGAGAAAGGGTACAAGTTATACGGATTTACAGAAAAAAATAAACAGTAGGAAATCACTAGTTAATGGATTACATATTGTCATCTTAGAAATAATTGTTCAAGTTACAAAATTAAAGCTTATAAAGTGGACACTCCAACAGTGAGACTGCAAACAGTTCTGTTCAATGATCCAACAAAACTCAGTAATATCATTATCTATCTTATACACTTAAATATACATGCAGTTATATCGTTTAGAGCACTTTCTTTTCCTATCTTTTGTACAATGACAATTACACATTTTGGATTTTGTTGCTCCCACAGTTCTTATTACTTTTTTGGAAGAGAGTAGAACCAAATGTGACATAACAGAACAGAGTCAGTCAAATCAAAAGGGTGGACATAATAGATAATAAAAGCATAATACAAGGTGATGAACAATGGTTACCATAATGCCTCCCACTATCTCTAATAGAATTTCCTATATCATCAGTTATAATAAAATTGAACAAAACAGTAAAGAACAAAACCAAAACGTTGGAGACATTATAGGTCTTCAAAAGTAGATTATAGTCAACCAGAATGGGTGTCATAATGAATCCCACTATCTTCACAGCTGTTGCCTAAACTTTTGAACCTGGTACTATCAAGCAAAACAGAATAGAGGAACATCAGTCAAAACAAGATGGTGAGAGCAATACAGGGCTTTAAATCAAGATAATGGAAAGTCAAAGTGGGTTACTATAATATATCCTGCTATTTTTTTATTTATTTTTCCCTTAATTAAAAGGATAAAAATAAAAAAGTAAATAATAAAATGGAGATTGAGATAAAAGAGGGCATAACAGCAAAACAGCGCAGATCAAAACATAACCATTTAAGCAAAATAGTGTTTCACCAAAAGATAATCCCGACATAAAAGTAGTTACCATATTGTCTCTTTCCTTGAAATCTTTGAGTATAACTTCGTATACTATAGCATCAAATATATCAAATCAATATAAAACCATTTAAGAGAATGACAGTATTACAGGGTATTTAGAATCAACTAACAGAAAATGAACAATGGTTTCTGTATAATCTCCTTGTCTATAAAAGTTTTTGCTTGTAC